CAAAGAAACAAACCAACAAACAAACAAACAAACAAAGAAACAAAGAAACAAAGAAACAAAGAAACAAACACAAACAAACAAACAAACAAACAAACAAACAAACAAACAAACAAACAAACAAACAAACAAACAAACAAACACACGAGCAAACGAGCAAACAAGCAAACAAACAAGCAAACAAGCAAACAAGCAATCAAGCAAACAAACAAACAAACAAACCAAAAAACAAACAGACAAACAACCAGAGAAACAACCAGAGAATGAGACACGCAGCGAGGATCTTACGGAGAGCGACGAGCTCCAGCGCAAGAAGAAGACGCTGCGCGAAGCTCCGTGGCCCAGTGAAGACAGGACGAAAAACAAAAAATGGGTATGGGTCAAAATTGAGCCACCAGGAATCGGACCGCAGGTTTTAGTCCTCCTTTCCATTTAACAGGATTCCATTTGCGGTACCTATTTTTGTCCCTCAGCCCAATGACGAGCCGGAGTTGCGTCGTGGGGAGGACGAACCCCTACACGAACTCCAACTTCGAAGCGGTGCGCGTGGCGGAGTTTTCCAGGCGTGGCATGCGTGTGGCATGCGTGGCATGCGTGGCATGAGTGCAGCTTCGGGGATATGGCTGTGCAAAACCAATGGGATCCCATTTTGGGGTCGGTGAATTCACCACATCCATTTTAGAACCTATTTAGTGGTTGGATTGGGATGTTCACTGGGGGTACGATTTGGATTTTGACCCATAGCCATCATATGGAGGAGTCAAGTCTTCAAAGGGCACATGGGTGTCCGGCGCTTGGAGATGTGTTTATCTGGGCTGATCGCTGCTGGCGGCTTCCTGAGGCGATTTCCAGAGTGGCGTTCCATCCAAAGATTCCCGTGGTAGCGACGGCCTGCGATGACCACACGTGGAAGATGTGGTCTATGCCAGAAGGCATCCGCGTTGTGGGGAAGCGCAGGGTCGCAGAGGATCTGCATTTTTTCGGCGAGCTCACATGGTAAAGGTCGTTTAGATGTCTACTTCAGCTTTTTTGGAGTAGAAAACATTTGCAGACAGGATGCCATCTCTTTCGCTTTCCATGCGGAGGCCAGCTGGTGCTGAGTGGGGAGGGCCACAGGCCAGGAGAGCGAGGGTCGCCCGATATCGGGCCGCTGGTGGTCACCTCAGGGATTGGGTCAGCGGCATCTCCTTCCACCCTCGAGGCTCTTTGGTGAGGATCTCAGGTTTTCCCGCGGCAGAACCCCAGAACCCCTGGCTTTCAAATCACATGGCTACAGTGCTTTTGTTGAAGTCCAGCGTGCTCTTTGCCGAGGTAGCGACGTCTTCAGGGGACTCGACGCTCAAGATCTGGGATGTCGCCAAAGAGAAGTGCAAGCACACCCTGACTGACCATACCCAGTGCTGCTCTTAAACTGAGTGATTCAGCCGAGTGTCGAGAGTTGCACGTGTTGTGTTCAAAAACCCGAGATGTGATTAAGGCCTGTGTGGGCTTGTTCCTTCCACGACCTTGGAGACTTCGTGGTGTCTTGTTCTATGGCACGGCCCCCAGAGAACTTGGCATATGGCTGTGGTGGTCAAAACCATCCCATTTTGGGGTCGGTGAATTCACCACATCCATTTTAGTACCTATTTTAGTGGTTGGATTGGGATGTTCACTGGGGGTAGGAATTGGGATTTGACCCATGGCCATATCTCTCTTGGCTGCCCTTAGAAGGCCCTTTTGGCCCTCGGCAAGCGCAGGACCAGACGGTGAAAGCCTTCGACATGACCGGCATGAGATGCCGGCAGACCTTCCGCGGGCACGTGGACTCCGTGAACTTTGTCACGTTTCAACCCTTCTCCAGCAACGTGCTCACAGCCTCCGGGGACAAGACGGTGTCGTTGTGGGATTTGCGCACCGGACTTTGCGTGCAGACCTTCTATGGCCATGCAAATGCCTGCAATCATGCCATGTTCAACCTGAAGGGCGATACGGTGGCATCCTGCGATGCAGATGGAATTGTCAAGTTATGGGACGTGCGTGTTGTGTCGGAATTCTTGCAAATCGACACTGGCCGGCACCCGGCAAATGCTGCCAACTTCGATCGCAGCGGGAAGATCTTGGCAATCGCGCTTCTTGCTTGCAAGTCTCGGCTATGTAAGGCATCGGCTGGCAAGTGGTATGCGCGTCATACGGGGGCGGCTGAATATTAAAGAACTAGGGTTACGCAGGTGTTAGTCTTTGGTTCCATTTGCCAAGGTGCATTTACTTGAGCCATATGTTGTGCTTTCTCAAATTGGTGGATCCCTATTGGGATGTTGCTTAGAGGGAAGGCAATGGGAAGCAGAATATCTTGAGAAAAAAAAAAAACACCCATAATTGTTTTTTGCTCACACGGCTAAACACGGCATGCTTCTTGTGTGGTCACATCGGTTTTGAGGACTGCGCCCTTGCTATCTGCAGGCAGCTCCAAACACTGTAAAGTATTTTCAGTAAGTATATGGGTTTGTCTCACAAGAGGGGATGCCCCCCCAAAAAGAAAGAAAAAAGAGTGGTTGCCTATTGGTTTCCCTTTGCACAAATACAGGGAGGCAAGTCTGGCGCAGTCTTGATTGGCAAGATGGCGTCAAAGCCTCCAGTAGACCCAGCGCCACGGCCCCTTTGGGCCGCGAGTCTGATTGCAACACGTTCAGAGAAAGGGCCAGAACAGTGAGCTAAGCATGTGAACAGGCCAGGAATCCTGAAGCTGCGCTTGTGATGGCCGCTGCAAGTCCAGATGCAAAGCCAAGACCCGGCTCTTTTGCAACTGTGGCAGACGGGTCCTAACCACGCAATCATTCCAGCGGCGTTTCACGAGCGCCTTTGCTGTCCAGGAATTCAACCAATCCCACCCATTTGGGCTTTCTATTTTCTAGGCTTTCATTTTCATTCCTACAGTGTGGTAGGCTTCCCTCACTGTCAGCAATTCGACATGCCCGAGCTTCAGATAACATTGAAGTGACCCTGCAACAGTTTCATTAGCATTGCTTTCATATGCTAGTCTCCGACAGCGAGGTCTGGCGATGCTTCCATCAAGACATTCAACATCGAGGACAAAGTCTTCGTGGCAAACCTGGAGGGCCATGAAGATTCGGTTCAGGCGCGGAAAGTTGGTTAGGTGATAAATGGCTGTGGTAAATATGTACCCCAAATGGAACTTCCTGGTAGGTGGGAAGATGAATCAAAGTGTGGTCTGGTGGTTTAATTTTCACCCATACCCAAATGTGTGTGGTTCCTGGCCCTGAGGATGTCGCATTCGAGCCGCTGGGCAACAAATTCCTCGTGAGCGCTTCCTCTGATGCAACCTTCTCGTTGTGGCAATAGCTGCGGCGCAGTCTCACCACGGTTTCACTGCGGGACTTTGCGCATCCAAGACTTGTATGTCTAAAGGCCGGATCCCTGTGTCAGGTGGAATTGCAGCTTGAAGCTAATCTGCAGCTGCCTGCACGGCAAGCACCTTCCTGGATCTTTATGGCTCAATGGTAGTGGATCAGAGCATTGCGAGGCGGCACGTTTCCCGACCGGCAGCACCAATGCGGGCAGCCCAGAAATTGGTCAGGTATGCGAGTGCGAAACTGTCGGGAAAGGGAGCAATCCGAACTTGCATGCTTGCAACGAGACGTCTTGTCGAGCGGGAGTTGGATTGCCTAGTGCTGAGGGCACTTCCTCTCCGCGTGCTTGGAAGCGCAGCATGTGCCGTCTTCTCAGCTGGATGCATTTTTTTGTCATCCAGGGATGCAACGTTTAAGCTTCCTAGGTGATGGGCCAGCGTTCGCCGCAGGGAAAGCAAGAGGGGACCGACTCTTAGCATCTCTTAGCTTAATCGCTGCTCGCTCCAAAAGAAGCTACCACAGTGGCATGATGTTGACCCCAGATAAATAAGCCCCTGTTTATTTGGGGATGTCCCTGGTTTTACTGGGGATTTATCGCTTGTGGAAGGGAACACCCGCATATTGATAATCTGGGGTTGATTCTGGGGTCAACATGTCTCACATTGCACACCTAGCGAGCAACCCTGACAGTGTGTCCCCGGCCATCCGGCTGTCATCTCTTATCTTTTGTCTGAGGTCCGGCAGCCACACCTCCTTTTTTGTGGACCCGCTCGGCCAGATGTCGCCGATACCTCGGCAATGCCTTCTATCTTGGCTGAGGTAGGGGCAGGTGGGGGAGGTGGGGGGGGAGGTGGGGGAGGTGGGGGGTGCAGCGTCACTTTTCAGCAAAGCCACCGAAACAGGCCAAGCAAGAACTGCGCGGCCAAACCGCCCTTCCCATTTGCCTTCCCATTTGGACATTGACGGGGCCGGAGTTCAAGAGTAGAGATTTTGCCCGAGCGGGGGTGTTCACATGGATTCATTAATCCCAAGGGCAAGACGGCGAGGCAGGACTCACCAGTCATTTGTTGCGCATTGCGAGGCCTAAGACGCCCAAGACTCCGAAGACTCCGAAAACTCCAACAAGTCCTAAGACATCGTCGGGATATGCGGAGGCACGGAGGCACGGAGGCCCTTCTTGCGGCAAAATTGTGGATTGCGAGGATCGCTTCGGCCTCAAGTTGGCTCCGCACGCATCTCAGACGCGTCAAGCTTCAGTCCACGGAGTGTGGCCTGGGGATTTTGGCAAGTGGGGCCAAAGTATTCGGAGGTCTTCGCCCAAAGAGAAGGATGCAGAAGGTCGCGCCTTTGCAGGCGAAAGGCCCGCGGCCCGCGTGCCGCGCCGCGCGCAACTTCTGACACATCTGGATGAGGGGTGGGTAAGGCCGATGCTCCTGGGCCGAGCAGTCGGAGCTTATCCAGCAGCTGCAGCAAAGCCCCCGGAGCCGTGAAAAGTGCGCGGAGTTTTAGCTAATACGGTTCGAGTTGCAAGGGCGAATTAGAAAGACTCTTGCTGGAGAAGTTGGACACACCCCGCCCAAATGTTCCATAGTCTTGTTGCTAGATGCTTCTTTTCTTTGTCGTTGCTTGCTTGCTTTGCTTTGCTTTGCTTTGCTTTGCTTTGCTTTGCTTTGCTTTGCTTTGCTTTGCTTTGCTTTGCTTTGCTTTGCTTTGCTTTGCTTTGGCTTGCTTGCTTGCTTGTTTGTTTGTTTGTTTGTTTGTTTGTTTGTTTTGTTTTTGTTGTTGCCGTTGCGGTTGACATTGCCGTTGCCGCTGCTGCTGCTGCTGCTGCTGCTGCTGCTGCTGCTTCTGCTGCTGTTGCTGTTGCTCTTGCACTTCGCTCTTGCTCTTGTTCTTGTTGTTCTTGTTGTCGTTGTTTTGTGCCTCTTTTTGCTGTTTTTCCTTGCGCAGTGGATCCTTTTGCGGAGCCATGGGGGGATAGGTTATATTTGTGATGCGCACGCACGCTAGCCTATATTTGTTTCTTCATCCGTGCAGTTTGGCAGTCTGTGGCAAGGGGCCACACAAGAGCTACCATGCGCCAGCCACATGTTGTAGAAAGAATGTGCTGACAATCTTGACAGCTACAAGATTGCAGCGTGGTTGCCCTCATGTCAGGCTGTAGGTTTTGTGAAGCTGCTACGCATGGATCCATTTGGTGTGAGCAGTGCCTGCTGAGTCCTCTCCTGCTTCAAGCCCGCCTTCAAGCAGCGCGCGGGGAAGCCCGATGTCTTGTGGTTGTTCGAGGGGCGAGCGACAAACACGTTTGGTCGCACTAGTCTGACAATTGACTTGCAACTTGTCTCAGGCGCCGGGTGTGCTTTGAGCAAGATCCAGAGATGCTTTCAGTGATGTCTCGAGAGGCAGGAGCGATGCTCTCCACAGCCTTCCGGCCCTCGGCTTGCGTGCCAGGCTTACGTGGGCCGCCAGAGGCGCATCCGTGATCGGCCGCCAGCCAAGATGCAGACGGGGTTCAAGCTACCCTGTGGTTGTCAAAAACAATGGTACCATGTGGTTGTCAAAACCAATGGTACCATTTTGGGGTAGGTGCACCGTCCATTTTGGTCTATTTTAGTGGGGATTGGGATGTTCACTGGGGGTACGGGCTGTTGACTTATGGCCATGTGGTCCAAGGTTCGGAGTCTTCCGGGTGTGAGAAGATATGAATTCGCTACGCGCGATGTCAGTTGAGACCGCAGCAGCTGACCCAGCCTCGAGTCTCCTTTTCAAGTGGTTGGGCAGCTGACGTGCGGCCTGTAGCACAGTGTGATGCAAAGCCGCCCTTTATTTTTATTTTTATTATTTGTATTTTTTTTTGGAATAGTTTGTCATAAAGACGATGCCGCCCAATATTCACAGCAATGGCAACAGAAGCGATGTCAGGGGCTTGCTGGTGCTCTTAACTCTGTGCTCTTGAGATGTTCGACCTGCACGGTCCCATACGTGGACCACTGGCGCCCATTGCTGGACTGAGTTGCCTTACTTTCTGCAGGAGGAGAGGGCTGCATCTTTCGCCTTTGGTGGCAGTGGAAGCTGCAAATGTTGGGCTTTCTAGGCTGTGGGTTGTGGAGTGTGATTAAAGTTATTGAAGTGTTGTGATGAGCAGTTGTGAGAGAAACAGGTTTGTTGTAAAATGCCGGAGGGCTGCAGAGCTGCAAGAGATAGCCTGCGGAAGCGCTCAAAGCGCGCCCAACGGCCTTGGGGGGAAGGGTGCTAGCGCTCGTGCACAGTGGCCGCTTTGTTTTTAGCTGGCCGTCAGAAATGCTAGAGAGAAACCGGCTGGATCTGTCTGTCCATGACCCGAATGTGCAGTGTCCAGTCAGCAACAATTTATGGGCACTTTCTTCACTGGAAACAGGCTGCCTGAGGAGCCTGTCCAAGGTCAGAGGCAGCCGGCATCAATTGACTTCCATCACCCGATGCAGACAAAAAGTAGGATTGCGAGTTTGTGTTCACTGACTAGGTCTGGCCCCAGAATCTTCTGAAAGGCTGTTCCATGCGGGCAACCATGACCACGTGCCAAGAAAAAGCGGCGGTTCTGAGCCTGTAGGGCTCAGATGGCATGGAGCATTTGTCCTCCAATGGATGAGGCTTCGCAGCCTCAGCGTGCTTGGGACTTTGGCGCTGCTCGGCCTGGGCCTTTGGGCAACGCGCAACTGGCGGCATCCCTCACCCGTGTGCGAGGACTTAGGATACGAGCTGCCCGAGTCGCTTTATGGGGGCTTGCACCGTCCTTTCCATGCAGATGAGATCCGTGTGGGTCAGAAAGCCGCTGGCCTCGCAAGGGCATCGAAAGCTCGGAAGCAGCCTTTGGCTGTGTGGCTTGTCGGGCCATCTGCAGCGGGCAAATCCTTCATGGCCCAGGAAGTTGCCATGAAGCTTGGAGTTGGCTTTGGCGAAGGAGGCGAGGCGGACGCCGTGCTTGTGGACGGCAGCGGTTTTCGCAAAGTTCATCAGGGCTATCAGGCAGTGGTGCGTGAAGGGCACAGGCTAAATTGCATCTGGCGTCAAGCGTACCCTGCTTTGCAAGAGCAAGTGCAGAAACAGAAGCTCACACTTTTACACCGGGCAGCTCATCAAAAGCAGAACGTTATTATTCCCCACACCTGCGACT